AAAAACAACTTATATATGCCTTATAACCCTAGCCCACAAACTGACTCCAACTAATCTAGTTAATTTCCTTGCTATTGATTTTAGGGGGCACAAAGAGGGACCATAAATGCTTGCCCCTCTCACACCAAATTCTAAGGGGCTTAACTTGATTCTTTACAATAACGTAAGATGATTTATCTAAAAACCTATCGTTTTTATCATGGATCTAAATAAGTCTATCTTCCTAATCACAATGTAGGATTTTAATTCTAAAATTTTCTCAACTAATGGGGGAATGAAGAGAGGATTTATAAAGATGGCATTCCACTCTCTACAATTTGAGGAGAAATAGGTCACTCACCTTTGAAGCATTTAGACCATCAGGTTTAGGACCAATTGCTCCAAGTCCAAGGATCCCAGGATTGAAATATTTCTGCCCAATCCAATTTACCAATAAACACCCTCCATTAGAACTCCTCTACCACTAGAGTGCTCTTCCAACCAAATGAACCAAACTCAAGTAGGTTAAAATTTTAGGAAGGAGCATTTTTCACATATTTTGTCCTAATAATCTTGGCCCACAAGCTGTCCTCTCCCTTAACAAAGTCTTAGCAAGGAGTGCTTATTGAAACCAATAGGGTCACAAAGGTCCAAACCACTCACCAGCTTAATTTTTGTTATGCTAACTCCCTTGCTATTATTGTCTTCACCCCATTAGAAGTACATTTTGTAACTTATTTAGCTTCTAAGAAACTCCCACGAAGAGTTTGAAACAAGACATACAATAAGCATGAATAACATTTAAAATCTTTTTTAGCAGTGGAAATCACTGGAGTCTCATACGAACTAGGAAGGGAACTATACTTGAGCTTATTAGTATTTGCATTTTGTTGTTATATGTCTTATAGACATGTAGCGAGTATGGGCTGAGAAAAGTGCATGCACACACGCACCGGGCTATGCTACGCTAACACACGCATGTGTTCACGTGTCATGTCGTTTTGTTTTTTCGTTGTCTTCTCACCAAACTAAATCTCTTTTAACTCATTAATGAATCTACAATTGCATGTAAGGCATGCTACACAAGTTTTTCTAAGGAGAGGATTTAGGTGAGGAGAGAGAACTCTATGAGTGTGGTAGGAGTAGAACAATCATAAAGAAGATGGCTGCTCCTTAATGTCCCGTGGCCAAGCCCACTTATTTTGTTCTTTCTTTCTTCCTCAAACACAGGGTTCCTACTGGTTTTACATTGGTTTTCACTTTGTTTTTTAGAGAATATCAACCTATTCAAGGACCTTACCTAACAACTTAAGCTTTTAGGTTGAATGGTTCTTTGAGATGGTATTAGCACCACTTTGACCAAGTGGTCTAGCGTTTGATCCTCGTTACCCCCATTATATAATTAATTGAGTTTCAACACAAGGTATGAGTGGGCCTATGTTTATTCACACTTCAAACTCAATGGACTTTCATGTAAGGGGTGTGTTAGAGAATATCTACCTATTCAAGGACCTCACCTAACAGCTTAAACTTTCAATCTTTGCTCTTCTGGAAAAGACTTACCAAACAGGTACTAATTCTCTTCTCAACTTTCTGTTTCTCTCCTATTTTCTGTCAAATCAAACACAGCCTAGTTTATATGTAAATCATTCAAGGGACTGGTTTAGGGAGCTTGAACTGGGTAAATTATAAATCACCACCCGTTTTGTTCAATGGAAAAACAAAGCTTTCAATCAGGCTGTGTTTGGTGTGAAGGAAACAATAGGGAAAGGTAGGGAAACCTATAGAAGGTTTGTAAAGGTTTCCCTACATTTCCCTTCTTTTCCCTACCTTTTCCTTCAAACCAAACATAACCTTAAGAAATTTATTTTGAAAATTTGCAAAAATATAATTATAAAATTCTTTTGATAAAAGATCCAAAGAATGAGACCTAAAAAACTTATCTCTCTCTCAACTAGTACTGTTGTGAACTGACAATGTAACAGGGCTCCACGTTTCGTGGAAATTATATTATTATCAGATTCCCAACGGGAGCATTTGCCATGTTAAGAATCAAAACAACTTGATAAGGCCAACAGTTTCAGCTAATTAAATCAAATAATAAACCCTTGAAAAGGTTAATTTATTAGTATAAATGGGTAACATGTGATCTGGTGGTCGGACAAAGTATTCATCTCTTACAGTAGGGAGTAGGGGTTAGGGAATTCTTATGGTAAAAAATTCATTAGACTCATAGCTGCTACAGATGTATTATATGCCGTACATTAGAAAAGTTATATAGAGCCCAGCGAATTAAAGTTATATTAAGAATACATCTGGCCCCGTAACAGATCCCTGATGCCAGGTGTTTGATGCACTTGTGGCAGATCTTAGCAATTAACTACAACTACAAGTTTGATTAATTCATAACGTTAGAATTTTTTGTTTTGAGGGTAAAATATAAAAATCTCCTTAAAGTTTCTGACAATCATAAAAACTTTTCCTGTAGTTTCATTTTAACAAATATTTCTCTTGAACTTTTGAAAAATTCGGCAAAAATCCCCCTTCTGTTACCTTCCCAAACGGAAAACGTTAGACTAATGTACCACTTTCTTTCAAATACCCATTCTACCCATTTATAAATTATTTTACATACAAAATTATTGAATAACCTTATTTTGATTTGACAAACACATTAGAAGATGATTGTTTTTGTCAAATAAAAACAAGATTATTTCAGTAATTTTGCATGTAAAATAATTTATAAAATGGTAGAATGGGTATTTAGAAAAAATTGGTGCATTAGTCTAACATTTTCCATCTAAAAAAGTGACAGAAAAAAGGTTTTTGTCAAATTTCTCAAAAATTGAAGGGAGGTATTTAATAATATTAAACTATAGGAGATGTTTTTATGATTGTCAGAACTTCAGGGAAGGTTTTTGTATTTCACCCTTTTAATTGGACAACTTGGATTTCTTTGGTGAACTACTTTGTTTTGATTGATATGCTGACAATGTCAGAATGTTGGGTTTGAGTTTGAGTTTTTCACAGTGACCAAAGCTATGTAAAACATGCAGTTCAGAGCAGCCCTAAAATTGTATTTTGTTAACTTTTCCTCTCAACTTGCTGTAATTCTCTTATTTTCTATAAATTCGTATACTGATATAAACCTTTCTTGTGGAAGGTCGTAATCGTATCTGCCTTCAATTTATAGTGCCAGAGCGTCGCTCAAAGACGGTCTCAGCAACCGAAAAATCAATTCGTTAGGCATGATTAGGAATGATTTGCCCAGTTAGAAAAGCGTTAGCAATCTTTATCTAGAATAACAGCTCAGGTTCTGACATGAATATAGCCACGTCATCAATTGGAGTGGCCCACTGCCTCTTCCATGCTAGCTTTGGGATTTTACTGTGTAACAAATTCACATCCGAACCGTGTTTTGTGAACATATCACAACAATGACAAGTATGGGAGATATATTCAATGCACAGTCAGATATGCATACGAGTAGACCTGTTCATGGGCCGGGTGGCCCGACGAGCCGGCCCGGCCCGGCCCGACCCCCGGACGGGCTTGAACAGAATTTTTGGCCCACGGGCTTAACCTCGGGCCAAAAAGCCCGGCCCGCATAAAATTCAAGCCGGGCTCGGGCTTTGCCAAAATAGCCCGGCCCGGCCCGACTTATAGTTAAACTTAAGTAAACCCGGCCCGACCTATAGTTAAACCTAAGTAAAAACCCTATGTGATGTCTATTTGAATAAATGTTTTGATTTGAGGTCATTGATTCACTTGTAGACCCATTGTTCATTTAAATAGGGAAAAAAAAACATTTAAATTAAAATAGAAAATGTCAGAAAATTTTGAATTTCTTTTATTATGTCGGGCTTCGGACTCGGGCCTAACAGTTTTCTGTTAATAAAGAGTCAAAGCCCGGCCCGGCCCATGAACAGGTCTACATACGAAGAATCTGTGGAGTACTGATGTACCAAGTGCCAACCAGCTGGTTGATAAGGTACGGAGACTTGGGATCCAGTCCCACCTGCACCTGGGTTGGGGTAAAGCCCAACATGTTTGTTTCAATAGGGTATAAAAAATGTGATCAATCAGTTGAGCTGCTTTCTGAGTAAACAGGCCATGGTTGTCCCATAGAAACCCTTGAAGTGTAGATTTGAAACAAACTACATGAACGATTTTTTCCTACCTAGGATCCCGAAGCATTCAGCAATCATGCATTATTGCATTGGAAAGTCCTTTTTATTTTTATTTTTTTTTAATTTCAAATCGTGGAACTTGATCAATCTTGCCCATTCTCTGCAAGAATGAACGATAATGAGCAGCCACACATAGCCTTGGACAATTTGTTTTGTTTTTTTTTTTTTTTTTTTTCACATTGTACCAGCCAGCCTACTGAAGGAAATAATACATGTGGATGGGGAATGAATCAGCATGACGCGCTTTAGTTGCATATGATGCCGGGCTACTGATTATGTTGTAATCATAAATCCTAATGTGCATTAAGATCCTTTAGCTTTGTCTGACAATGAGGCAAAAATTGCAAACTATCTTTTAGCTAAGGCAACATTCATATATCAACCAAGGGTCCATTCCATTTGGTTCTCAGTTGGAATCAGAATCAGAATTATAATCAAAATCAGAATCAGAATGGCCTGTTTGGTTCAGACAGAAATTGGAATTGGAATCAAAATCAACTAACATAGATTCCCATTTCCAAGGGAGGGGGAGGGAATAACCATTCCCTCAATGAAAGAATGTCATTCAATGGACCCTGGATCCAAACATGCAATCCTGGAGTCAAATAAACGAGTTGAACTACTGGTTTTTAAATAAAAGAACTGTAGAACCGACTTGTATGAACTAATGAATACCTCCTCATAACAATGACTCAGGCTGAAATAGTAAAACCATGGTACTTGGGTGTTACCAAAGATTGCCACCCCTAGATACAAGGCAAAACAAATCAAAAGGAAAACAGTACGAAGTGAATAGTTGTGAGATAATTCGAACAATCAGGGAAAGAAAAAGAAATGAAATGGTGAAAGCATTTCTTTCTCAGAGATGACCTTAACTGCTGTAGCAAACAAACTTGTCCACATCATAGCTGATACTTATACATGATAAAGATGACAAGGGCTGGCAAGAACATCTAACCATCCCAGTAAATAATTAGATGTAGAACTAAAAATATAAGTTTAACAATAGAAAATGGAAGAAAAACACAAACTTCTCGTAGCCACAGTTGAGGACTTGAATCTAACTTCCTCTCATTGTACAACAATAAGCCGCTTAAGTTTGATCAAAATTGATTTGGTGTTCAAGCTACGTTTACCAAGATAAGTACTTGGATCCTTTCCAGTGATCCCAACCAAGTATTGCAACCAGAGTTGCTCTGCAGATAGTTCTAGTTCCCATGAAAAAGGAATAGAATACGGACCGCGCATGATATGAAGCTTGTGCCAAGGAAAGAGCCATCTCTTTTAACGGAAAAATCCATCTGTATCCTCTCACAAGATTTGATATCAGCATCAGAAACTTGAAATAATTTCACTGAACTTGAAGCATCTTTACACTGAAAAGAAGAGATGTACATACGGTTAGAAAAGGGTTGATGCAAGATATTTTGTGAAACGCTAGTCCAATAAACAAGATCTCTGGAAGTGGAAAAATGATTCAAATAAACCAACGTAACAATCCAAGACACATATTTTCAAGAGTTGGGGGGAGGAGGGACAGTTTCAGGGCAAATGGGTTGAATTGTAACGGCATTTTGGCTTAGTGTTTTCTAAGAAAATTTTGTAGGCAAGGATGTCCCACTGTTGCAAAAAAATAAAAAAGATTGTCACAAGTTTCACTACTTTAAAGGGAATCATTTCATTTGTATCACCAGAACTACCTAGCTGACAATGTTCTGCCAATTGAGTACCAGGGCAAATGGGTTGAATTGTAATGGCATTTTGGCTTAGTGTTTTCTAAGAAAATTTTGTAGGCAAGGATGTCCCACTGTTGCAAAAAAATAAAAAAGATTATCACAAGTTTCACTACTTTAAAGGGAATCATTTCATTTGTATCACCAGAACTACCTAGCTGACAATGTTCTGCCAATTGGGTAACAAATCATGCTCAACAAAAGGAATTCTACACAACTCAACCAAGGTTTGTCCTAAGTCCCAATTTTATGGGGTTATCTACATGAATCCTGTTATGCCATTCTACTCTGTTCAGTGCCACATCCATTGCTAAATATGGGCCCTTAAATGCAGTAGAAGATCAAGACTGTGATCAGTCTTGAATCCTAATAGGTTTTAGGTTTACAAAATAGAAGAAAACTGTAAGAAAGAAGAGAGAATAGAAGAGGAACAGGAGAACACAAGTGGTTGAAAGGAGGAACAGATTCTAACAGATCTGCTGCTGCCACTTTCTTATTATTTATAGGTTATGTTTAGTACACAATGGAAAGGACACATCTGACTCA